GGTTGTGTTTTGTCTTTTGCTCAGGTTTTTGGCTGAGTTGAGAGAGGGTATAAGTACCCCATTGCCTTCAACTCTCAAACTAACCAAGAGGGTTTTTAATCAAGTTTAATAAAGTTTTTAACAAGGGTTTTAGTTTGGTTTAAGTGTGTTTAAAAAGCTTTTAAGCAAATTGAGAGTTTGTTTTTGTGATTCAATTCTACAAGAGCTTGAGGAGATCATCTATTGGTGTTTGGGCATCCAACTCTTCTCCCTCCACTCTTGATATATTGAGAAGTTTTCTAAACTCTATTTCTAGCTTTTTTATATATTTGATTATCATTGTTATTAAGCTAGAACTACATTGAGTTTAGTTTTGATTTATATCTCTTTGTTCACACACAACCTTTTGAGCTTATTGTATTTACATTCATAGTATAATTTAGGGTTGTGGGTTTGTGACATTGAGAGTGAGCTTAATTGAGTTCTCATCTTGTTAGAGAGAGAACAATCATTTGCTATATTGTGCTTAATTATGAAATCACTTTGTAATACACTTGTACACCGAGTGAGGAGTGTGTGGTGAGAGTCGGGGATCGTCCCAAGAGGAGTGGCGTCGGTTGACGTGCCTAGGAAGAGGTTGTAACCGAGCACTTGAGGGAGACACGGCTAGGTCCAACACTTAGTGGGTGTAGAGTGTGATTGCAAGAGTGTATTGTAAAGTTTTCGGTTAGCTAGAAAACCGAGTGTGAGGTGTAAACGTTGTTCGGGTGAACGTAGAAAACCCGGTTGATAGTGGATTTCTCCCCGGGAGTGGGGAGCGGAGACGGAGGACGGAAGGGCCGAACTCCGTGATCATCTTTGTGTGTTTGTGATTGTCTTGGCGTCTCACTTGTGCTTATTGTTCATATCATTCTTGTCGCCTTTATCTATTGTTCACATTGTCCACTATCTTGTTTATCTTGTTTATGTTTATATCACCCTTAGTTTATATATCCTTGCATATATATTTCATCATATAGGATATATCACTTTGTGTATATTGCATATTCTTGCCCATAATAGATTGTATACCTATCTTGCAAGAATATAGTTGTTAATTATTTTTAATTGGCATTTAATCGGATTAGATTAGCATAAGACCCTAATCACCCCCCCTCTAGGGTCTAACAGAAAATGGCGGCGTTGGGGTGAGCTAATTCAGCGCGGCCAACGATCGGTGCGCTGGAGCAAACGCGCTCGCAAGGGGCGGCTAGGGCAGGGACCAGGGTTTGTTTGTTGAAGGTGGGACAAATTTTCAAAATCACCCCTTTTGCGATTTTACTCCCAAAAAACGACA